AATAATTCGTGTTAAGACCGGATTAATAATATTATGTAATATTATGTTAATCAACGACAATTTCTAACGACAGCGTATATCAGAAATAATGTAAGAAATGTCGCAATCCAATTCGCCATTAAAATTGTTTTAATAGAGTAAGTATAAGTATATAAATAAGTTTAGATCATGAATAAAACTACAATCGCATACACGACTTGAGAACCTCTTACTTTCTTGGGTTTGAATATTATGATTCAGATTGTGCTAATGTCATATATCCTTAGGTATTATTAAATGATTAATTTCACACAAATTACAGTGAATTATCACAGATAACTTAATATTACATAATATTATTGACAAACATGATGATGATGATGATGGTGATTTATGATTATTTATATTAATAAATAATCATAAATGTTTTTTATAATACTTATACCTACATTATATATCACTGTAATCTAGGGGTGCTACAAGTACAGGAACTTTTTCCTTTACAGGAAGCTGGGTTTTACCTTATACGTTAAGGATAAAATGTAACATTACATTGTAACATTAATAATAAATTAATAAAATATAAATAATTTCTCATTCATAATAATAATATAGATGTATCAATATACCGTAATAAATATGACATGACGACCTCGGTGGTCTAGCGGTCTAGCACACCGCTTGACGTCCGATGGTCGCGAGTTCGATTCCTCGTACGGCACAAACATTTGTATTCATGAATATGTTTGTTTGTATCGGTCTGGGTATTTTCTATGTATTTACAAAAAAAATCTGTGTATTTGTATCAGTTATCTATAACCAATAACACAAGCTTTAGCTAGCTTAACGTGGGTCTAGATGGCGCTGTGTGAATTGTCCTGAGATTATTATTATTGTTAAATATAAGAACAGTTTAATAACTGTAAATAAAGAAACTAATTCAAGAAAGATCCCTTAGTGGAACAAAATAATACACAAAATGGACTTCCATCTTGTTTGTAGAAGCGACTTAATTAAAAAATAACAGACGACCGAGTGGCGAGAGAAACAATTCGTGTAACGTCACGCCCTTTATCTCTTAATATAAATTCTGCGTTTGTTTGCTCTGTGGTACTTTTAGCACAGACTATATTAGTCTTTTAGTGAGAGATGAATACACGATAGTTATTAATATCAATCTTGCTTTAAATAAAACTTATCTATGTATAATATTAATATTTGTATATTAATATATGACGACCTCGGTGGTCTTGCGGTTTAGCACACCGCTTTACGTCCGGTGGTCGCGGGTTCGATTCATCGCACGGCACAAATATTATATATGTAAATATTTACAAAAAAAAATGTATCCATGTATTTATATAAGTTATTTATTACATATAACACAAGCTCTGCTTGTAAAGATGTCTATCAAAGAAACCAAAATTGGTCTTTTTTATAAGTTCGAGTTATATAATAAGTTTTTATACATAATGAAAATTAAACATTATAGATTCCAATTGAGACATTTCATGCATAAAACCTTACTAATATAATAAAAGCGAAAGTTTGGTAGTATGGATGGATGTATGAATGTTTGTTACTCTTTCACGCAAAAACTACTGAACGGATTTTGATGAGACTTTATAGTAATATATAAGGAAAGATATTATGTAAATTGGTCCAAATATAATGTCAAGTAATTGTGATGGAGACGAAGTTGAGCGGGTCAACTAGTCATTACATAGTATAAAACAAAGTTGCTGTTGCTGTCTGTCCGGTCCTATGTATGCTTAAATCTTTAAAACTACGCAACGGATTTTGAAGGGTTTTTTTTAATAAATAGAGTGATTCAAGAGGAAGTTTTATATATATAATACATGTACACCCGTACGAAGCCGGGGTGGGTAGCTAGTAACTTATATAAAAACGAAAAGTTTTAATCTATACATATAAATAAAATTGGAGTGTCTGTTTGTTATATTAAAATAACCGTTGTTTACTACATGCATATGAATATAAATACGGTACATACACTAAAATAACAGTTTTGTCTGTCTGTCTGTTTGTTCCGGCTAATCTCTGAAATGGCTGGACCAATTTTGACGGGACTTTTTTTTAACAGATACCTAATATAATAAGAAGTAACTTAGGCTACTTTTATTTTAGAAAAATAATGTTAAATTCCACGCGGACGAAATCTCGGGAACAGCTAGTAGATAATAAAAATTAAACATTATAAGTTCCAATTGGGACATTTCATACATAATACAGAACATAATTTACATTTTAAATTACTGTAAGAGAAGAAAGAAATCATTATTCTTTAGCGGGATAATAATTTTAGGCAAATACAATGTGGTAAGAGATACAAATTTGCTTCATGAATATATAACTCACCTCTAACATAGAAATACGACTTTACAAAGAAAATGATACCTACTCAATTCGATTGTACTAAAATAAATGTAGAGCATATCGAATCACAACGATATCGACAACCTCGCTGGTTAGTGGTTAGCACAGCGCTTCAGCTCCGATCGTCGCGGGTTCGATTAAAAAATTTGTATTCGTATTTGCTTGTATCAGTCTGGGTGTTTTCTATGTACTTTTATTATAATAATAATAATAATAATAATAATATTTCAGGACTATTCACACAGCGCCATCTAGTCCCAAGCTAAGCAGAGCTTGTGTTATGGGAACTAGACAACTGATATAAATACATGGATACTTTTTTTTTTGTAAATAATTAAATATTATACATAGAAAACACCAAGACCGATACAAACAATCATACTCATGAATACAAATGTTTGTACCGTGCGAGGAATCGAACCCACGACCATCGGATAGTAAAGCGGTGTGCTAAACCACTAGACCACCGAGGCTGTATGTATGTATTATGTATGTATCTTAAAAATATATCAATGTATTTATTTCATTTGTCTTCTTTCGCGTTTATAATATTACTAAGATTTTCAAATAGAGATAGTCGCCGTGTTCTCAAGATTACGATTGTCTTTTGTTTCTGTTGTTCTTCAATATTTGTTACACCGTTGATTATGTCGAAATTATTATACAAAAACAATATATAATTACAATTTGTTTTATAATTGTTTTCAACGACTACATCCACGCAAATCGTTGAGTAACACACAAAGTAGTTATATAAGTTGCCCAGTATGCATAATAGAAGCTCTCCTTAGTTTGGGACTAGATGGCGCTGTGTGAATTGTCCAGGGTTATTACCATACTTGAATTTGATACCAAGGTAACGTTCTAATTCTCCTCTGGGTGGATCTACAAAATTCTGTGATCTTATAATCCTAAATTGCATGAATTACATTATTAAAATCCGTTAGCGTTTGCCAGAGATTTCATTTGCGTGGGATTCGAACTATACACTTATTGGGCGCTTCTCGTGAACCTGCCTGTAATATTTAGATATCTGAAAAGCCTATTTTCAATTAGAATATTTTTTTATTTGTGGATTTTTTAATAATATTTATAGACAATATTTCTTTCTTATTTATGTTGCAAGGATTCGAGAAATTTCAATAATTGATTATCTTAATCTTAATAATATAATAATCGATAAAGTTTGTAAGTATGGACGTTTGTTACTCTTTCACGCAAAAACTACTGAATGGATTTTGATGAAACTTTACGGTAATTATAGCTTATGCCTCAAAATAACATATAGTCTTAATTAACAACAAATAAATATTTGTACATTCGAAAAAAATATATAGATAAAATCTCTCTGAAGGTAAATGATAGCTTTGAGACATATTATAAAGGCTTACATATTTAGAATTATTATATAATATATATATAATCTCAGGACAATTCACACAGCGCCATCTAGACCCAAGTTAAGCTAGCTAAAGCTTGTGTTATGGGTACTAGATAACTGATACATATATACATAGATATATATTTTTGTTAATACATACATATTATATATAGAAAACACCCAGACCGATACAAACAATCATACTCATGAATACAAATGTTTGTACCGTGCGAGGAATCCAACCCGCGACCATCGGTTGTAAAGCGGTGTGCTAGACCGCTAGACCACCGAGGTCGTCAATATTTATACTTGATTATTACTATACTATACTTAATTATTACTCTCATGATTATCCTTATTGGCCAAGAAACGTTTATTCAATTCCATTTTCCTTCCTTTTTAACGTCTGTTTGGGACTGCATGGTGTACTTACTCTGCAGTCCACTGCTAGCGTACGATTTCTTTTTCTAGAAAGTCAGTCATATTTGATTGTAAAAAAAACAATAAAAATAAATTTTGCATTGATCATTTACAAGTTGTATAAAAAGAACAGTAGCATTTATGTAATTCAGACCCTGAAAATAAATAGATAAATATATATTATACATCGTAAACTTACCATTGTGACCTCTAATTTTCATTACTAGTGGTACATTGATTGAAATAGGACCATAATAAATTTAAATTGTAAGTTTGAACATTATTAATGTTCTATTGTCTAATATTATATATAATTCTATGCGTGCATGTGTGAAATACATGGTAATGTGTGTAATGTTTTTTTTTATGAATTTATACATATTTTATGCATAATTAAAAAAAAATATTAGTATTTGTGATCATTCTCTATATAAACTACTAGCTGTTCTCGCTTCTTCGTCCGAGTGGAATTTTAGTTTATTTTTCTAAAATAATAATTACCATAAGTTGATATAATAAGGAGTTTATTATATCAGCCATTTCAGAGATTATCCGGAACAAACAGACAGACAGACCAAAATTGTAAAATTTGTTATTTTGGTGTATGTATGTACGTACTTATATCTATTCATATGAATGCAGTAAAAAACGGTTATTTCAATATTACAAACAAACACCCCAATTGTATTTATATTTATAGATATGTGTGCGAAATTTCATAGTCTTCCATTCTTTCGTAAAAAGGTGTACTATGTTTTTGATACATATTAATATATAATTATTGTTTGGATTATGTGTTCTATACAATGTGTTCTATACAGACCTGTCTTTGTATTGTTATTGTTTGTCGTCCCCGAAGCTTGGCTGAAGAGAGACGCTCCGGTGAGCCTAGCCCGCCTCAGGATCCACCACATCTTGCCAAACAAATTTCAATTCAATCCCACCACAAAACAATACTATATCCAACACTTGTAAACACACGAATTCGTGTTCAAATCACAATAAACAAATAAAACAATCAACGATAATGTAATGTATAAAATTTAGAAGTAATACAAATAGTTTTTGGATCTAGTTTCATACATGAAAGTCTATATTTTTGTTTTGTTGGGGTAGAATTACGGAACGCGTGTATTTCTATAGTAAGAGGAGGCTGAATGACCCTTCTGTGTGGACACCAAAACAGTACTAAGTGAACACCCCGGTTTTTTCGCACATGCGCCGTAAGGTCCCGGTGAACAGGTGATTTAAAAATATAAATGTGGAAGTCATTACAGATAGAGTGGTGATAAGATATTTATAAGGACCAGTGAAGGGAGAATGTACGTATATGAACTAATATATATGTGAATATAAACGCTTGTAAGAAACTTGAAAGAAATTATTACTTATTGTGAAATCTTAAATGTTGTACATTTAGATTTTCTATAAAGTATACTTCTATTATAGACAGCCTCGGTGGTCTAGTGGTGTAGCACACCGCTTTACTATCCGATGGTCGTGGGTTCGACTCCTCGCACGGTACAAACATTTGTATTCATGAGTATGATTGTTTGTTATTATTATTATAATTATTTTATTTTTTTTATTTAACTCAGCTTTTGCTGTTTTATTTTTATTATTTTTTTCTTGACTTGACTTTCGCGAAGAGTGAAAACAAAAAATATTTAAATGCAATCCCTCAAGATACGATAGCGCGCGCTGTCTTTCCTGCGATCATAACAGAACGTGTCATGACACATTTTACATGGAAAGACAGCGCATTGGAGTTTGTCAAATAAGAGGTTAAACATCGTAGTCCACAGGATCAACAACGCATGAGAAGATTGAGGAACTACTTTCTAAGTAATCTTACTAAAATTACAGACGCGAAAGTTTGCGAGTTTGGATGGATGTTTGTTACTTATTCACGCTACAAGTACTGAACAGATTTTGATGAAATTTACAATGAAATGAAATGAAATTAAATAAAATGAAAGAAATTAAATAAAATGATTTTATTTTGCGAGAAATGTGGTGTGCATAGATCTTATAAAGTGGGTACATATGGTTCCATACAATCATTTTATTTTAGACATGCAAAATTTTATTTTAGTTATGCTTCTGTAAATAATTACACAATTCTGTCTTTCAGATAGCATATTACATTATTATATTAAACAATTTAAAAAAGTTATTATATCTATATTATTATTTAGTCATTATATGTCAATATTATTGTTATTATGTCATTACTATTATATTAATATAATCCAATTCTTAACTCATTTTACCATTAAAATTTAAAAATTCTTTTACTGTCTAAAAACATCTCTCAATTAACCAGTTGCGTAATCTACTTTGAAAAATTTCAAAAGACATATATACGTGTTATCCTTATAACACGTAGGCTATGATTTAAAAACATATTATGTGAATGTGTGAAATACAATTATGAATGTCAAGTAAGTGTGATGCAGACAAAGTTACGTGGGTCGGCTAGTCGTTCATAAAAATTGGAAATTTCATAAATTGACACTTAACGTGAAGTTTGCTAGACTCGAGCAGTGAAATCTCTTAAGGACATGTGTCAAACGTTTTCTGATATCTGATATCGCGTCTGTAAGAGACAGCCTAATATGGGAGCTCAAGAGACACGTGAGAGAATAACCCACAAAATATTCGGGGTTTTTCCATTTGGTTATCTTACTTCTGACTAGTCTTGCTAATATTATGTAATATTATGTTATCTGTGCTAATATTATAAACGCAAAAGTTTGTGAATATGGATGGATGGGTAAATATTCGTTACTCTTTATTAAAATTTCTTTATTTCAACTAGTATAGGAAGTAAAACTGTATGTAAGAGAATATATAATGACGACCTCGGTGGTCTATCGGTCTGGCACACCGCTTTATGACCGCTGGTTGCGGGTTCAAAATTCAAAATTCAAAAAAATATTTATTCATGTAGGTCCGTAACAGACACGTATGACAAGACTAATTATAATAATATATATTGTATATACGAGATAGTGTACCAATTACACTACTACTTAGATAACATATTAATATAATAACTTATACATCCAGGAACAAATCTTAGCCTAGTCTTACATCACAAAGACAATAAACAAAAGTTCGATTCCTTGTACGGCACAAACATTTGTATTCATGAGTATGATTGTTTGTATCGGTCTGGGTGTTTTCTATATATAATATGTATGTATTTACGAAAAAAAAATATCTATATATTTGTATCAGTTGTCTAGTACCCATAACACAAGCTTTAGCTAGCTTAACTTGGGTCTAGATGGCGCTGTGTGAATTGTCCTGAGAATATTATTATTATTATAATGTTAAGAGTATCCGTCATACTCGTGACCGGGCGCTGTTTATGGGGACTGGTCTGTTCGGGTTACGAACACTGATTAGACTATTTGCTTTTTCAATAGCATATGCTGGTGGTCACTCTATTCTCCCAAATTTGAGTTTAAAAATGAATCTGTATTATTGTAAACATGTACAACATTTATTTGAAAAAAATACGAGCTGAGTTTCTTATCGGTTCTTCTCATCTCGACATCATTCCGGGATTTCACATATCATAAGAGTTTGTAATAGACCTGCATGAATAAAGGAATATTTTGAATTTGAAATTAACTAGAAACGCAATAGTCTGTGAGTATGAATAAGAATATTTGTTACTTTTTATTAAAATTTCCTTCTTTCAACTATCGGAAGTAAAGCTGTATGTTAGCAAATGTAATTTAAAGATTATTAGCTTTGAAATAAAAAAATCCATCACTCATTAACATTTAAAAAAATATATTCATAAATCATTAACATTTCAAAAAAATATATTCAAATTAAGAACTTCCCGCCATCATTGAAGTTGGTTAAAAATGAATTCAGATATTCAGCCCGAAAACATTACATTACATTTTTGGAGCAGTCATGTAAAAATGTAAAAACTTAGACAATTGAATGTGATTTAACATAATGTTTGAAGTTGGAAACAGCATTTCACCATAATGAGTTTCCAGCCATTATTGTAAAATGATATCCGACTTTCCAAAGATACCAACTTCGGTATGATATAGCGAGTCCTTTGAGAGTTTTGAGCTTTGACAGACAATATAAACGTTCATTAACATAATCTATCAAACATTTACTTTGAAACACTCGTATAATAGCGTAATAATTAAACTTCATTATTTAATGTATTATAATAAATTTATTAATATTACAAACTAACTGCTACCAGCGTCTTCGTTCGCCTGGAATTAGAATAAGTAACATTTCTAAAATAAACGTAGTCTAAGTTACGCCTTTTCACATTAGCTCTCTATAAGTGAAAGTTCAATCAAAAATGACACAACCGTTTCAGAGATAACAAGAAAAAATACACAGACAGTCCCGAGGTAAGCAGCTTCTGTTATGGGTACTAGACAATTGATATAAATACATAAATACTTTTTTTGTTTACATACATAATACATGTAGAAAACATCCAGAGCGATACAAACAAGCACACTCGTGAATACAAATGTTTGTGCCGTGCGAGAAATCGAACTACGGCCATCGGAAGGAGTTCAGGAGAGTCAGTGTACTAAACCGTTAGACTACTAATGAGAATGAAAAGTAAATTGTATTTACTATAAAATTATTTTCGATATAAAGAAAATTTCGCTAAAAAGCGTTACTAATTTATAATCAGGGGCCGTTCGGCTTTCAAGGGTTGTTTAAGCTGGAGATATACTAATTTCTGAGAAGGGTTGACGTCTGCCGTGTCGAGGGAGGCAGCGGGTGGTTACATCCAGCCGTAAAAATACGCTTAATTTTATCTGAAACACTAATTTACTATTCTGTTTCGTTTTTTAAAGTCAGCAAGTAAGTATTTGCTTTACATACAAATGTGTATAAAATTCTTATGTCACAATGTTAGTTACCATACTCCTCCAACGGTTTGAACGATTTGTTTGAAATTTTATATGCATATTCAGTAGGTCTGAGAATCGGTTACTATATATTTTTCATACCCCTAAGTGATAAGGGTAACTCATCGCCCTATTTTTTTTTGTTTCTGGACAATTTTTTTTATAAATTTATAAAGAGACATTAAAAAAAATATACAACCCTCAATTTCCACCCTTCTATCACCAACACTTATTTTTTAATAGCGATTTTAATTTATATAGCAAAACAACGTTTGCGGGTACAGATATTTATTGTATGACAATATATATTCCTTAAGGATTAACATATATAGAAAATAATAAAACAAAATAAAATATTGATATAGGCTGTGTGTATCACTATGGCAATATATAATAATAATAATGTATTTATTATTAGGCTTAATTGCCCACTTTATTAGTATTACAGATTTCTTATAATTAATGTTAGTACGTACAGACTACAGGCACAAAATACACACACAAAAATAATAATAATACAAATAATATCAAAAATTAATATTAAATTAAGTTAAAATATAAATTAAAATACATTCACATATAAATATAAAAAATCAGTATAAAAATCATATTATATAAATAAATATATATATATTTAGCCACAGTCATATTAGCAGGAAACGCTATAATGTCTTTGTCTTGTTTTTTTGTCTTTTCTTGTTACTGATGGTTCAAATATTTTATGGTCGAATATTGACCACTCTACGACCACTAGTATACATCGATATACCCACATTACGCTACTAATTTGCTTTAGCTCTTTCGCATTAAAAATATGCTTCTTTTTATAGGTGTTTTCAGATTTTCGGTGAAATATATCAGTAGAAGCGTCATGACAGATTACGATGGAAAATCCGTGAGGGCGCATAAGTAGACGTGTAATCACAATTTAAATGGATGATATAAAAGTTGGCGATACACTTATACATTCTTCTTTTAAATTGGTTACGGAAATATATAATGAAAACTAGCTGTTCCGGCAAACGTTGTTTTGCCTTAAA